TTTCCTCCTCCTTTAGTGACCTCAACAAAATATCATCTCTTTAAATACTGTCTATCTTCTAGAAACTCCCAAATATATATTTCCAGATGGAACTCTCCCCAATCTCTGGATTTTTTATATGGATTTTTATACTTAACTCCCTACTCAGCATCTCCACTTGGGTATCTGATAGGCACATCAGCTCTCTACGTCCAAATCTGATTTCTTCATCTTGCCCATTGAACCTGTTCTTTCCAGTCTTCTCCATCTCAGTTAATGCAAACTCCTACCTTCCAGTTGCTCAGTCCAAAAACCTCAGCATCGCCCTTGCCTCTCCTCCTTGTCCTCTCACAATCTATAATCCACCAAATAGTGAACCACTCTACCTTCAATATATACTGAGAATCTGACCACTTCACACCCCTTCCGCCCTGGTTCAACCTGTTATGTCTCACTGGGATGGTAAGAGCTAGTCTCCACCTCCCGCGTTCTCCCGCCCCATGCACACGCCACATATAAATCACCTTTGTCTTTTCCAAGCACAGTAATTGTTTCATAACTTAAGTCTGACTGTGTTAGTCCTCTGTCAACTATTCTCCTCCTGTCTCACTGACACCAAACCTTATCAGGCCCTATGCGATCTGACCTCGTTTCTCACAGCTCCTCGGCTTGCTCATTCCATTCTAGCAACACTGGTGTTGCTTGTCCTGAAGGTGCAGGCATACTTGCACTTTGCACTTACTGTTCCCTCTGCCTGAAACGCTCTTCTCCCAGGTGTTCTTGTGGTTCAAGACCTCACCTCTGTCAGGTTTTACCTAATCATCTTCTTGGTAAGACCTTCCCTGACCCCTATATTTTAAATTGCATTGCTCCCCAACACTCTCTCTTTTCCACACTTACCATATATGACAATAGTCTATAAATTTTAAGTAGTTCTTTATTTCTTATTGTCTCTGTCCACTAGAATGTAGGCCTGTCTTCCTGACCGCTGTCTCTCTGGCACTTGGAATAGTGTCTTTCACATGGGAGGTATTCAACATTGTTGAAAGGTTTTGTTGAATACCTCTACATTAAAAGTCATCTTATCATGACACAGAGTCGCACATAACCAATTTTTCTTCTTCCCCCTTTTATATAGTACAGTTCAGTTTATAAAGCCACTATCTGCTCTCCTTACAAGCTAGAAATGTTAAGAATCACTAACAGCTTGAAACATTGGCTGCCCCTCATTCTTCAAGCGCTAGGGAGTCATCTTCCACCTACGTATATCTCAAATCTGCTCTCCTCTAGTACCACCTCTTCACAGTCCAGGCTCTCACTGGAGCCAGTCTGTCCAAAGAATAAAGTGCATATTCCTCATCCTGACCAGTAACAAGGGTCCCTTCCCATGTGACTGCAGCACACTTTACAGCCACATCCCTCGCCTCCCCTGTACTTTTCTTCATATCCACTCTACATGAAATATCCTCCTTGTCCCTCAAGGAACAATTCCTTGGTCATTTTACAGGGCCCATCTCAAATACTACTTCTAGAAAGTCATCAAAATAATAGCAGCTAACAACTACTGAGTGCTTCCAATGATCTAAATAATTTTCTTGTATTGTATCATTTAATCCTTAAAAAAGCCTATTAGAAAGGTACTAATAATTTCTCCAAACTACACATGATAAAATGAGGCCAAAAGAAGCTAAGAAATGCATCCTAAGATTTGAGCAAATGAGCTAGGATTTGCTCCTAGGTTCATCTAATTCCAAAGCCTAAACGACAAAACTTCAAATGAACAGTTAAACCAACCTTCCAATGAGTATTCTGTAAGACTTTACTGAGTTTAGGTCATTTTGAAACAATTAATTTATTATTTTGAGATAAAACTACAGACTACAAACTCTAAGAACCAGCTACTTTATAACTATCCAGGTAATAAATCAAGGAATTCACTCTAAAACATTATTTTAATATGCAGTAAAACACACAATTTTTGTGGGAACATTTGTGTGATGAGAAAAAGTAATGATAATGCCATTATTGCTAATTTAGAGCACATACGAAGCTACAGGCAAGGTAAAGACCAGAGCCTCGTATGCATGCCGCGAAGTCCACATAAAGGTCACCTGATGTGTCAACACAACCTCTGGAATGTTACATCACTGTTGTATTTCTACCCAATAATTATAACTATTCAAGTTTTCGTCCTTCTTGAGAGAGCTTCATTTCAACGACCTGTTCGTTAGGAGTTGCTTTGCTGGGTTTGCATATAGCATCCCACCCAAAAGTGACTTTGATGGAGCCTCTGGCGGCAGCCCCAGTGGGTCTCCATAGAAATGGCCCCAGGGTTGTCTCCAGAGTGGCCCTGCTTGAGTTGCCATGGTAAACAACCAGGCTAGATTGCTATATTCAGTTCTCTGCCAGAGTCTCCATGGTGACTGCAAAGGATGGCTTCTTAGAAGGACCTCACAAGGGCACGTTTCTATGGTGACCCTATCCTGAATATTTCTAAGCAACTTCCCTTCGGTTGTTTCGTGACCGGTCATGGCAGGTTCACTTTGAGAGTAACCGTAGGAGGTTTCTCCCAAAGATACCATCATAAGACATAAGGATTTTAAAGTGAGGTCTGTAAACAAATAAATCACTTGAAAATGTAAATGGTGCCACTCACAAATCATTAAATTAGTCCCTATACATTTTAGGGAAGAGCTGTATGGATGGGAAACAAAAAAAATACTTGTAATGTCTCTGTTAACAAAGTGTCTGTTTCAAATCTTAATGAATTAAAAGTTTCTTACAGAATATAATGCAGATCATTGAAGTTTTAAATTTCTCCAATATCACAACATAGCCGCTAACTAGGTAAAAAATACTTTATAGTGGACTTGACACAGATAAAACAGAATCTTGAATACAGATGGATCATTAGGTTATAACGAGGTATCAAGGAAATTTTTACAGAGCAAAAGACAAAATATTTGCAAGTCAAATGAAAGAAAGTGTGGTTTTTTAAGTTGAGTTGGGAAAGCCTAGCCATATTCGGGCCCCAGCTATTTTTTCCTGTGTTTTTGTGGTTGGAATAATCCCAACTACTCTTCCTTTCCATTTAAAATATGAATATAAGCCATTCTGAACAGATGCTTGGTTTTTAAGCCATTTTATTATTCTCCTGAAACTTTAAAATAATTTACTTTTTCTAGCATTTAGTCAAGGGCAAAATTTCATCTAATCTCTGATTTCAATACCTTTAAAATTATTTAACAAATAAAAAAATTCTACAGTTCAAAAGATACAACTTCTGTGTATATGCCCATCCTTTTTGTTCTTTCCAGTTGACTCTTTAAATTAAAAATACACACACACACACACACACACACACACACACACACACACACACACACACACCCCTTACTGAATGCAAAAGGTTAATCTCGGGTTTCCTCTATTCTCATCTTGCGGTAAAAGCAAAGATGATTTTCTCCTCAAGCATTAGTTACACTGCTGCATTTCTGTTATTCTCTCTCACAGATTCCAGTCTTCTACTCTGTCTACAGCAGCTCACTCCCCACCCACAGTCCATTCAGGAGAATGAACTTGAGTTAGACAAATACTGTCAAGAAAGATGAGGATAATTCATAGTCACTTTTTAGTGAAGTCTCAATGTTCTGCACAAAGTCTGATTTTGTAGACTTCTTGCTTCAAGCCTTCAATATATTTTTATGAATCACAGCAGTTACTGCAGTTTTCATTCGTTCATTCATTCACGAAATATTTACTGAGAGGCTGCCATGTCCCAGGTACTATTCTAGGGGCTGAGATACTTCAGGAAACAAAAGTTTCCTTCCCTTAAGGTCCTTTGATTATAGACAAGGAGAGAAAGAAGGATGATATAAAGAAAGCCAGTAAGGAAATCATATCTTATGTTAGAAAACAATTAAAGCGAGGGAGAAAATAAAGCAGGGAGGAGGCAGGCCGAGTCCCAAGTGAGGTTCAGATGGGGCTACAGTTCTACAAATTAACAGGGGGTGGTTTCAGTGACTCCCCTCCTCACTTGTCATGACTATACTCAATACTAATCTAAATCCTTAAATTAAAATAAAAAGGATTAAGAAAGTCTCTTTCATAGAGACTCAACGGAAATTAACCAAAGTGATAAGCAATTTTCCCATTTTATACTTGCTCTCTGAGAGACAACATGGTCTGAAGGGGGCCAGTGATGCCTTCCCCCCAATCCTACTTCTGTTTCACGAACTATATAAACTTGGCCAACTTATACTCCACCTTCCAAACCTTTGCCTCGATTTTAAAGTGAGAATATTAATTCTAATCTGATAGTATTACTCTGAAAATACGCAAAGGTAATAAAATATAAATACTAAAATATTGTGTGTGATAATATCATGTCTGGAATTATAATATAATGTCTGGAACAAAAGAGTGTCCCTTTAGAACACTTCAGACAAAAAAGTGAGAAAAAAGATGAAAAAGTTGGGCAGAATGTTGGGAATTGATGAAGCCCAGTGATGGGTATACGAGTTCATTATATAAGTGAAGCTATTTTTATGTTTGAAAATTCCCATTAAAAAAAAGTATTTTCAGAAAATGATTAAACTTGAAAACAAATATATCTCTTCTTGTAAAGGTTTTTACAATAACTAGAAAAAAAGCGTATAGGAACATCAACTTATTTTGTATAAGTATCTTATAAAACTAGATAAAAACTGGATTTATATACTGAGTACTTACTAACCTAGAACAGTGCCAGTTTTCATACCTTCTTCAAACACTCTAATGAAAAAAAAAAAAAAACAAAAAACAACTAACCTCTTATTTCGTTCATTGTAACAGACAGAAAGGAAGAAAAGCATCATTGTTAAGCTTGCACACTCACTTTGTACTCAATATATAATAGATATTGAAATTATAGTATCCTTTGTTGAATGTTTAAAAACAAGCATGTAAGGAGCTCTATATTGCTAATAAAATTTTTATATTAAAAATTCTATATGATTATATAGAGAAACTTAAAAACTTACCAGATCAGCATCTGCCTTTTTATAGGTCAAAGCTTCGACTTTGGAATCCAGTTCTGCTTGTATTTGGTCTCTTCTTTTCATAACACCCTTTGTATTAAAACATGAGGATTTAATAATCTTTGAATAACAAAAATATACTTTTCAAAATATAAATAGCATCTCTTACCCAAGCTGTCATTCATTTGGGGATATAATGACTTAATTTTTTTTTTTAATCTCTAAAAGCTACACTGAAAGCAAGTATTTATTTATTTTTTCATAAATCCTTTAGTATTAGTTTTCCCAATGCACATCTTACTGGTTTAAGTATTTTATGCACAACTTTTGATGAAGCACTCTAAGCAAATACAGTATTTTAAAAAGAGAAAAGAACAAAACAAGTAAAAAATCAGTGGGAGCACTGAAAATATATGCTAAGGCATAATCCGATTGCAGTTAAGAGGGTCACATGGGCCACATACCTGAAAATATAATCAACATCTGACTCCAAAGGTACAGTTAATCAGTCAAGTACAGTGGAGAATCAATATTTAAGTGTGCATTCACATCTTAAGATTTTATTTTAGCTTAAAATATATAAATATTAATCAATTAGCCAAGCTTTTGATGAGAAATCATGGTCTCTTCTCTGACTGACGGCAGTTCCATCTCGTTTTCTTGAATAATCATGATTTTAAGTTTCAATGTCATTAAACTTAACGTACCCTTGTGAAGGAACCTGAGTGCAGAGTTCATCTATATCTTTTATAATGTATGCTGCTCTTTTACAACGTCTTTCCCTTGGTGACTCACTTTTCCTCTGAGATATTCTACTTAGGCTTTGTGGACAAAGACTCTTTTTATCTGTATTCATCTTTCACTGGTTTTCACAGTATTAACTGAATAATGAAATTGTAATAATGAACACAAGTGGCCTAAACAGGCTAAGGAAAAAATAAAACTGACTCTGAGTAGACACACAATTCAAGCAGGGAGAGTGGAAGCACAGATACAAGAGAAGGGCCTTAATGAGATACAAGTCTTTGGGATGTCTTCAGAGGAAGGGAAGAACCTAGACACAAATTAGTTACATGGAGGCCACATAAGATGGCTCTATAGTATCTGAGTGAGAACTGAGAAGCCTTAAGGATAAAAGGCATCCCGAAAACTACCCAGTCTAGTTTTGTGCCGGTGGAACCACTCTCAAAACATTCAAAAGAGATTAACATTTCTCTCATTTTCTAAGAAATAAATAGAAAATTCAACTAATTATCACAAATTCATTTATATTTACTTCAATGTTTAATTACCACTGATGTCAGGAACCCCTTCCTTTCTCCAGCCCAAATGACAAACACTACAATTTTATCCCATTTATTTAGGGTCTGTTTCCATAAATATGAACTACCGTGCTTCATACAGGTAGAAATATTTTAGATAAGAGATTGCTTCAGAAGACAACTAGTAAAAATTACAGAAATGTAATAATTTTGTCGAGGCATATTCTTTTTATTATTTTAGCTCACATTAAAGGAAACATTCCAATATAAAACAGAACCAGAACTGTAACATAAATGCTACTGATTATACCCTAGGAGTCTACAAAATGATACAATAAAATAAGAACCTAAAAAATAATTCTTTCTAGCTGCTATTATAATTTTTCCACATCTTAATGATACGTGATTTAAATTGCATAACTTCCATCTTGACATAATATAGAGGAAAATACATCTAATAAGGGAAAAAATATACTTTTTTTAATGATACAAATCAGATCTTTTTGAATAGCTACACAGAGAGGAAATCAATAATGAAGTAAAACGATGGAATACAGCCAAAGAAACTGATGAGGATAAGGAGGAGACTTCTCAACAGTGAAGCGTTAGAGACCTTTGGGAAGCAAGAAAGGTGTGTTTGTAGAGGACCCCAAAAAAGTCAAGTAGCGGCAGAAACCTGAAATATCCACAGAGTATGAAATGGCTATGAAAGGAAAACCTAAATACGATAAACACAAAAGAAGCAGATCTTATGCTGAAAGGCTAAGAGAGCTTTTCTTACCAAGACAGAAACAAAATTAAAAAAAACAATCCTCCCAAATCAAGCGTACATGAAAACTGAAACCAGACATGGCTCCAATTATAAATGGCAGATGAAATGGGGTATATCTGAATGTAAGCTGAGTCCTTCCCAACTGCCACCCTGAAACACTGAAACCTGAGGGTACCAGATTGACTGTGCAAGGTCCTGTGAGCAGAGGATAACACCGGATGAAGAACATTAGCTTTGCAGATAGCATTGCTAAACCCCAAATATCTGGAAACATTAACTTGAACTGGGGAGTTTAAAAGCAAAACTATGATATAAGAAGAATAAAAGCCATTTCAAATAGGGACAGAACACCTTTTTAATTCAAAGGATTTCTTTTTAGAAGCATCCAGAGGCAGAACAAACAGCAAGGTCCTACTCAAGGATTTTCTACACAATGATACTAAATATATTGGTGGATCAAATGTACTACCTGGAAGCGGAAAGCAACTCTTCCATGAAATTTCTAAAGCACTAAAAATTTTAAAGCAAAATTTTAAAAGGTTGAAAAACTAATCATATTTCCTATGTAAATCTTGGCGGAGGATGTTTCGGAACTATGTATAATCTTATAAATTGCTGTTGTTAATGTTGAATATTTCTGTCTTTTATTAATGCATTCTTCCGCTCATCAATTCATTGGCGCAGTGAACAAACATTCATTGAGCATCTACGTGCAAAGCATCCTGCTAAGATAGGAGGAGAGTGGTGAAAAACAAATAGAAAACTGAATTTATAAAGCTTATTAATCAGGTTAGGGACTAAGTTAAAAGTGCAATTAGGTGTTCTTACCATCAGTATTTCACTATACAGCACATACTCATGTACGACAGGAAGCAGGGCCTCTGAGAGTCCAGACATCCGTTTTTCAGTGGCCTTACAGCAGGTGTCTATGCAGCTGGCAACACCACTCAGAGTATCAGCCAGATCGTCTTCTGACGCTGACCACAGAATATGAATCGGGCCATATTCCCTCATTTCATCAAAATAGTCTAAAAAAAATAAGTAATTTATAGATGTTTTTAAAATCCCTGTTTATAGACAGAATGAAACATATTTCTAATTGTTCTGCATATGTTCTTATACACGACCATAAGAAATCAGATATCCCCTCTCATTAAATTAACCAGTCATCCCAGTCTGCTCGGGTTACTCCTTGAATGACTACTGTCCAGGTGTAATCAATAATAGCAAATTCTTTCATTCTCAAAAGTGTTCTGGCTTGGAAAATAAATTATTATAATCACCATGTCTATCATGGACTTCTACCTACCAAACATACTACATCTGAGTGTCTCACAGGTAACATGATGCAAACAAAACTTGTCTTCTTTCAACCCTTATCCTAGGTAATGGTAATTGCTTCCAATAATCTAAGCAAAAAGTCTGGGGTATATCCTAGACGCATATCTGCACAGAGCCAGTCAATTGCCAATTCCAATATTTCTTAATCTTTACTATCCTTTCTCTCCTTCCCTCTCTCCCCTCACTCATCCATACATTTATCTACCTACCTATCTACCTACCTACCTACCTGTCTATATACTCTCACCTCCACTGTCATCAGCATCTCTAACATGCACTACTGC